CAAAATCGTTTAAATTGGAGAAAAAGTAAAGGATCAAGATGTTCATATTCATTTAGAAACGTTTTTGAATGTCACAGAGTGAGTTTTAAAAGAATCATTTCTTCTGCTAGCGACATCGCAAGTTATTCACGATAAGATAGAAAATGTGTTGAAAAGTCTCATTTGCTTTTACTGCCAACATAATATTTTGCTTTTTTTGTCAACACTTAAAGGCTCTTTGAAGAATGACAACAACTACTGAATAAGAACTGCAAATAATTATTTCCGTTAGCGTCTACCAAAGTTCACGAAATCTTTATTCCGTACCTGTTCTTGAATTCTTAAAATTTAATACATACATTATATATATATATATATATATATATATATATATATATATATATATATAAATACATACATAAATACATACATATATATATGTGTGTGTGTGTTTGTGTGATTCTGCATGCATGTGTGTGTATGTGTTTGCGCGTTCGTAACTTATGTTATAATCATCGTTGTTTAAATCTGTTTTGCTAAGTGTTCCACCTCCTTGCGAGGTTACATTACCCGAATCACATTTAAATGCTTCATTCTAAAAACTGGTGACTGACGCACATTCATTCAGTGAACATGTGCACGCTCGTATAATATTTTTCTTTTTTTCTTTTAAGAGGTCTATATTGCTTTGTAGTGACGGACTACGCTTGCTTGCCCACGATTCCAAAAAGTGATCATTCTACGAGATTAAAAGGTTGAAATAAATATTAAGTGCTGGATTGAAGTCGATTATACCGTACGGGAGTGACTAAGGTATGTGGATAAACTGCCGGTTGTCGAAGCTTACGTAACGTACAATGTTTTTTGTTTTCATTTCTATCGTACTAATACATAAGTTAAAAACACCTAAACATGTTTCTCCGTTTTTTTTCTTTAAATGCCTGTCTCTCCAATTGACGAAAACATTAGCCTCAAATTTATTCCTTTAACCTCTGAATTCATTCATTATACTTCGATTTTACTTACCATTTACGCTGATTGAGTTTTGTAATTTTCATCAACCTATACACCAAAACTAATGACTTGAAACTTTGCAAAAAAACCCAATGCGACCGTATGACTGCTGTAGTAAAATTGTTACGAAGTGCGTTGCCAATTTGTATCATTTTAACAAAGATTTTTAAACAATAAAATTGTTCGGTGATATGTAATATTGTTTAGTGAAAGAAACAGGGACTACAAGCCCGTCGGCAACACCCACTTGTGTGGTTTTGGCTTTATAAGGGAAATAGAAATAGCCAACATAAAATAAAATTAAATAAAATCGTTGACCTCAAGTCAAAAGGTTATCAAAAATTTAATATTACAACTATTATTATGGAATTGATACTGCTTCAGTTTGAAAAAGTCTGCTGAATATATTTTTTTTAAATTTTCCATTGTGATTAATTCATTAAAATTTTCGTAAAAGTTTTCATAGCACAACACTGTTGGGAAGCAATCCTTCTTTTATAAAAATTTCGTGGAACTTGAATGCGACGAACAAAAAAAATTTTGTAAGTTTTTATTCAATTTTTCGAGTGCCCTTACATTTTTTCTTTTATGAAGACTAATAATGTGTAGTAATTATACGGTTTTTGGCTAATATGTTACCAATTTCAAGGATGTGATAATTTTTGTTGTTATCGTGTGTATTTTTGTTTTTCGGACTGTATTATGTGTTCTACAGAAGTAGTAGTATTTTCATGCCAGTACGTTTCCGGTTGGTTTCCAAGGAAAAAATGTTACGTGCAGGTTTGTATGTTTTGTCATTTTTTTTTTTTTTTAAATAAAATGTGCTTCAATTATCTTTAAACGACTTTTACGACTAGATTAAAAAAAAAAAATTACAATATTATCTAACAGCATTTTTCTTAAAAATGCGATAGGTTGGGTATAAATGCTTCCTTAACGAACTAAGATCACTCAAGATTGTTGAATATAGAGATAAACTTACAAAATTTTTCTTGTCTGTCACATTCAACGAAACACACACACACACACACACACACACACACACACATATATATATATATATATATATATATATATATATATATATATATATATATATATATCAACCAATATTGTATTAATCAGCATTTCCTAAAGGTTTGTAGTGAAATAGTCAGACTCAAAATGTCTGCTTAAAGCTAAAAGATCAAGTTAGGCATGGTAATTTCTCTGTCGATGATAAGTATCAGTTATATAACAAATTACTCAAATATCCAAAAGAGGAAATCATTAAAAAGAAATAGTTGTTATTATGTACATGATTTCATACATACATACATATATATATATATATATATATATATATATATATATATATATATATATGCTAATATAGAAAGAACATAGAAAGATATGTAATAATTTTGCTGCTATACGTTAAAATAGCACGTGTTGTCAAATGCTTTCTTTGTTTAAGCGGTTTCTCATAAAACTGCAAGATCTTATCTAAACGATAGATACCAATTCATGGAGACGCGTTCATAAATTTGACCAATAGAAATATATTCTGTATAGTTGTTCACATTATGCAAATCGTTTTTTTTTTTATTATTTATTGTCGGATATCGTTAGGGCAATACAGTGAATTTTGATTCGGCAAGTCTGGACAATTCTTTTGAACTGTGAAACAACAGGGGTGGGGGTGGGGGGGTCTTGTTATAGGCTCATTCAGGTGTTTTAAAAGATTGCACATGCTTGTCTTTCTTACAGATGAAATATTTCTTTTCATTATTTTTTTTATTATAAATTTTCCTACAGCTTTCATACGATAGCATTGTATTTACTGCAAAATTGTCATTCCTTCTTTACATAAAATTGTTATCGATACTTATCTCAAACACATTTCTCTCTGTTGCATCAATTATAATTATAACTATAATCATATATGTACAAATATATATATATATATATGTGTGTGTGTGTGTGTGTGTATGTGTGTGTATGTGTACATATTAAGATACATATTTGTACGTATGTGTGTGCGCGCGTGTATATATTTGAATAAAGTACTTTTGAAAGGGCAAGTGTAATCTTGCTTTTAAACGAACCGATAGCATTTTCGTTTTAATAAGGGACTGAAGAAATATACCAGTTCAAATCATATTGATTAGACTACAGTAAAAAATATACCCTTCAACCATCTAATTATTGTCTACTGTCACTGTACATATATCTAACAGGAGAGAAAAAGAGTTGTTTTTGGCTTAGCCAATTAGATTTTGAACGACAAATTAATGTACGTGCAATGTACATAACAATCTTTGAAATATAACTGGTATTTTTTATGGATATGGCTTAATGATATCAATTAAAATATTCTTATTATAATTGTGTTTAATATAATTTATGTTTGGATTTGAAGGAAACTAATAAAATTTAGTAATTCGGTTTTTTCCACTAACAAACGTTTGTTGAGAAAGAAGAATAAAATAAAATTGCGCCTAAGACATGACACGACTTCTTTTGAAGCTGCCAGAACTTTCGACACATTTACTTTTTAGGTTTTTCTTTTCATTCATGGAAAGGAAATTGCAAAGGAAAAAATTCAAAACATTGTGTTCACGTGTATAAAACGTACACAGTAAAATTAAAAATATAACATGAGCTTTCTAACTGTGATTTCTACTGGAAATATGAAGAATAATGCGCCAAAATTCGCCCAGATCTTATATATATATATATATATATATATATATATATATATATATATATATATATATATATATATATATAATCGTATACTAATTGTCAGGGACAGGGATACAAATTTCTAAAACATCCAATACGTGTATCTCTCTTTAACTTACTGCGTATAACAAGAACACATTTTTTGAGGGTTGCCTAAGAATGATAATCATCTGCATAAAAATATAACCCTTCCAAGTCTACGGCTGATAGTTTAAAAACTTATACGATTTCCGAAAAAAAAAAAAAGAAAAAGAAAAAGAAAAAACGATCGTAAAATATCCGGATAACAAAGTCTTGAACGAATTTAAAAAATGGTAAAATAATTCATTCTTATTATTTTAAAAATTGCATCAAACTTTCCTAAAGAATTTTTCGGTTTTTTGTTTTTAAGGGTTTTTTTTTTTTTTTTTAATCTTTTTGCAGTTTGTCAGTGGGTTTTAAAAATAGAAACAAACAGAAAGAAAAAAAAAACAAACAAATGCATACAAAGTGACAAATCACAAACATTTTTCCCAAATTTTCAGTTGCTAGGTGTAGGTCCTTCTAAGCTGGAAAAAAAGTTTAAAAAAAACTATTTAGTAAAAGATAGATAAAGGGAGAAAAAGAAAGAGAGAGTCTGTGTGAAAGTTAGAGCGAGTGAAAGAGAGTGAAAGGGAAAGAGAGAGTGAGAGAGAGATAGATAGATAGAGAGAGAGAGAGAGAGAAATAACTCCGGGTGGTGTAAGTCGGGTATCTCAGCGTTTCCTTCACATAAGTAATTGGTATTTTTGTTACCTTGGCAACGTGGCATATTTCAGTGAGAATATTTGTCTACCCAAAAGACAAATGCTATCACGATTTTTATAATTATTAAAATGGGATATATATATATATATATATATACATATATACATATATATATATATTTATATGCGATATGTCATCGCATATTTGAGTGAACATTGTATCATATGTCATCGTGGACATTGTTTTAAATCCCCCATTCGGTTTGACATTATTTCCGTCTTGACTTTTCATAGCTTTGCGAAAAAACCCGCTTTTTGTAAGCAGCCATTATCATATCATCATAGTCGGCTCCATACATATATATATATATGTGTATATATATGAAGAATTTGTTGTTGGGTTTGATTTTTTTTTCTTTGTTTTTATGTAGTTTACTTTCAGATTTTTATTTTTCAAAATTTGGTTTTAAAAATTTTTCATTTTTTTTTTTTTACATTTCTTTTGTTCTTTTCCATTCTCTTTTTTTCCTTTTTATTTATTAAAATCTGCGTATTTCATACATCGGTTTGCATGCTAAGGTTATTTTTGATGTGATTAAACCCTATATTGTTAGTATTTGTCAAGTTTCCTTCTTTCCATTTGTCAGTATACATGCTTCCTTCATCCATTTCCATAATGTCGGACTCGACTTCCGACGTATACGAACTGATTTTCTCGTCGTAATAATTTGTAGCAGAGGAGACATGCTGGAACTTTTCCTTGTCGCCAGTAGCTTCAGCGTCTCGGTGGTAAAAGTAATTGAAATTGGAGACGATGACGGGTACGGGCAGGGCAATAGTCAATACGCCAGCGATGGCACACAGTGATCCGACTAATTTGCCATACACGCCTATTGGCGACATGTCTCCATAACCGACAGTGGTCATGGTTACAACGGCCCACCAAAATGAGTCAGGAATGCTTTTGAAATGACTCTGTTCAGCATCTACCTCTGCAAAGTAGACGGCGCTAGAAAATAAAACAACACCGATGACAAGAAAGAAGATTAACAAACCGAGCTCGCGTAAACTGGCTTTCAGTGTTTGGCCAAGAATCTGCAGTCCTTTGGAATGACGCGAGAGTTTAAATATTCGGAATACCCTCACTAGACGAATTACCCTGAGGATAGCCAGCGACATATTTTGTTTGTCCTGAGTATTCGTGTCATTTTGTATCACGGTTCCTAGTGTTATGAAGTACGGTATAATCGACACAATATCGATAGCGTTCATGCTGTCTTTAAAGAAATCTAATTTTCCCGGACAGCTAGCGAATCTGATCAACAGTTCCATTGTAAACCATATTATACAACCAGTCTCTATAATAAAGAAAGGTGTGCCGAATTTCGGCATGGCATCATCTACTATAATTGTATCATTCAGAAGTTCGTATCGTTTGAACTCTGGTAATGTTTCTAAGCAGAAGGTAACTATTGAGATCACAATGATGCTAACGGACATTATAGCGATCACCCGGGCCGGAGTAGAACTCTCCGGGTGCTCAACCAAGAGCCATACGCGTCGCTGGAATTCGTTCTCGGGAAGGGGTTTTTCTACCTCCTTGATAAATCCCTCTTCTGCACGGTATTTGTCAATGACCTCCTCCCCGAGCTCGAAAAATCTGATCTCTTCAAGAAAAATATCCAGTGGCACATTTTGGGGTCTCCGGAGGCGCCCGCCACTGTGGTAAAAATAAAGGATGGCATCAAAACTAGGACGATTCCTGTCAAAGAAATACTCGTTCCGGTATGGGTCATAATAGCGGTTTCGCTTTTTGGGGTTACCCAACAACGTATCCGGAAACTGGCTTAGTGTACGGGTTTGTGTTTCAAACCGAAGTCCGCTTACGTTGATGATAACACGGTCGGACCGCTTGTACATATGAAGAGAACCACTGCCAGCATCCAACTGGTTGTTCTCTTCATCCGGGTTTTTCAAGTCAAGAGACCTGCAAAAAAAAAAAAAAAAAAAAAACGTAAATGTCAGAATGGCATTTAATTTGTAATTTTGATGAAATTAATTTTTATTATTTTCTATAAAAGTAGAATTTGGAAAGCATTTGTGTAATCATGTATGATCAATAACGGTTAACCTGAAGTAAGAAAAAAATGGCTAGAGGCTGAAAAAGGTGAGGTAAAGATTTGCAGTATAAAACAGATGCACAATAAAACAGGAATTGCAAAATGAACTTTTTAACTGCGAATTAATACAGGCAAAAAGTTTTGTGGGCAGCCTGCATTTATTTAAAAAAAACAAAAAAACACGTGTCAATGAGTTATTTTTTTATTTTTTAAAGTAAAAGATAGCATTTCAATGACAACAATGTATTTGCTTTTATTTTAACAAAAATACACACTTAACTATAACAAATTATCATACTTTAATCATATTTTATTTATTTCGTCAATCACCACCTGCCTTAATTACTGCTTTACAAATTTTTGGCAATCATTATAACAGTTTTCGAAAAAAAGTATATGGCAAATCTTTCCAAGGATTCTTCAAGCATTGAAAAAGCTCACACTTACTCTTTGGGTATTCTTTTCGAATTCTCTTATCCAATTCAACCCGTACTAATTCAATGGGAAAGGAGTCAGAAGTCATATTTTTCAAAATTTTGTTCTTTTTTTGTCTTAATTCAGAATTGTGCGTTGTCATGTCGAAAGGTAATTTTCCCAATTATCAGTAAGCCAGATAGTATTTGCAAATGATATTGTTCTTTTTTCATGAGTCCTTTGACCTGCTTAAAGTCCCCAGCTCTCTTGGTAATCTTAAAAATGTCTACTAAGGGATAAATGATGAGAACAAAGATTTGTGTCTGAACATAGATCGCCAGTGAGCAAACACAGGGGACCCCATTATTGAATTATGTACACCACGTGACCATAGAGGAAACGCATATATGTAGGAAGCAGCAGTTATTTCTACTCTATCCTCTATTATTATACGGACGGCTATTCTCTACTCTATTCACGATACTATTTCTCTATTCGGATTAATATACGGATTTCTGTTCGAGCGAGTATTATCGGGCAAGTTCTATAAGTGCGAGTGATATTCGAAGGCGTCTGACACCAGTATTGTTTAACGGTGTTACTATAGTTGCAATCTGCTATTACAAAGTCTCTACTACAACGAGCATTACAAAAGTGACAACGAGTGTTCATTGACATCACAGAAACGTTAAAAAAGTATGAAAATATTTCATTTTGAAGTGTCTCTTTTTTGAAGAAATGCAGGGCTGTCCCAAAATTTCTACTTGTAGAGTAAATATAAAATTTTATCCTTATGTAAACTTTTAACCAGCCATAATTCGTCTAAATCTTACTATATACATATAGTTTTACTTTCTTTCTTTCTTTCTTTCTTTCTTTACGTCCGTTTTTTCTTGTTAACAAGTTAGACTTTTACTTTTTTTCCTTACTTTCTTTCTTTCTTTCGTTTCTTTCTTTCTTTCTTTCTTTCTTTTCTTTCTTTCTTTCTTTACGTCCGTTTTTTCTTGTTAACTAGTTAGACTTTTACTTTCTTTCTTTCTTTTCTTTCTTTCTTTTCTTTCTTTCTTTCTTTCTTTCTTTACGTCTGTTTTTTCTTGTTAACAAGTTAGACTTTTACTTTCTTTCCTTTCTTTTTCACTTTCTTTCTTTATTCTTTCTTTCTTTCTTTCTTTTCTTTCTTTCTTTCTTTACGTCCGTTTTTTCTTGTTAACAATTTAGACTTTTACTTTCTTTCTTTCCTTTCTTTCTTTCTTTCTTTCTTTCTTTTTCTTTCTTTCTTTTCTTTCTTTCTTTCTTTACGTCCGTTTTTTCTTGTTAACAAGTTAGACTTTTGCTTTCTTTCCTTACTTTCTTTCTTTCTTTTCTTTCTTTCTTTCTTTACGTCCGTTTTTTCTTGTTAACAAGTTAGACTTTTACTTTCTTTCCTTACTTTCTTTCTTTCTTTCTTTTCTTTCTTTCTTTCTTTCTTTACGCCCGTTTTTTCTTCTTAACAAGTTAGACTTTTACTTTCTTTCTTTCTTTTCTTTCTTTCTTTTTTATTTCTTTCTTTCTTTCTTTCTTTTCTTTCTTTCTTTCTTTCTTTACGTCCGTTTTTTCTTAACAAGTTAGACTTTTACTTTCTTTCTTTCCTTTCTTTCTTTTACTTTCTTTCTTTCCTTTCTTTCTTTTCTTTCTTTCTTTCTTTACGTCCGTTTTTTCTTGTTAACAAGTTAGACTTTTACTTTTTTTCCTTACTTTCTTTCTTTCTTTCTTTTCTTTCTTTCTTTCTTTCTTTCTTTACGTCTGTTTTTTCTTGTTAACAAGTTAGACTTTTACTTTCTTTCCTTTCTTTTTCACTTTCTTTCTTTATTCTTTCTTTCTTTCTTTCTTTCTTTCTTTCTTTACGTTCGTTATTTTCAAAGTGAACTATTTTTTATTTCTTTTTATCTGTGAGTATCTGATAAGTAATAATAATAATAATACCAAGCGAGGAAGATTGTCTATTCAGTATGCAGCGCCACACACACACACACACACACATTAACACACACACACACATTAACACACACACACATTAACACATGCACACATTAACACAAGCAGATTAGCACACATACACAAATTAGCAAACCAACATCAACACTTACACATTAACACACGCACATTACCCCAGACACACAGATTAGTACACACACATTACCCCCCGCATACATTAGTATGCACACACATTAATCCCATCACACATATTAACACACACACATTAACACATCCACATTACCTACACACACACATTAACCCCAACAGATGCATTAACGTACACGCACATGCAGGCACACACAGACACACACATATATAAATATATATATATATATATATATATATGATGAAAGAGCTTAACTAGTGAACATCATATCTCTTTCGTTCTTGTAGACGTGTGGCATTGATTCAAAATGACAGCATTGCGAAGAATGCCTTTTGTTAGAGGTTACGAAGCCACCAAGTAATGAATTCGAAAGATGGTGATATTCGACAAAGAACTCAGAGAGCAGAGGAAATGCAATTATGGTGCTAGTGATATTGCTGCTGCTGCTGCTGCTGCTGTTGATGATGAAATCAAAGAAGCCGAGAGGAAAGAGAAAAAGGAGTAGGTGAAAACAAAGGAAAAGGTCAAAGCTGATTAAGAGGGGAGGCAAAGAGGAAGCTGTGAGAAAGAAAATCGGAAAGAGTTGACACGAAAGGAAGAGAAGCAGGTTTACTTAGAAGCGGATAACTTGGTGGTTAGAATCTGAAGACGCGGTAAAGTGCGTAACGATTATCTATCTATCTATCTATCTATCTATCTATCTATCTATCTATCTATCTATCTATCACAGCCTGTTCAATATCTATCTAATACTCTTTAGTATCTATCTATCTATCTATCTATCTATCTATCTATCTATCTATCTATCACAGCCTGTTCAATATCTATCTAATACTCTTCAGTATCTATCTATCTATCTATCTATCTATCTATCTATCTATCTATCTATCTATCTATCTATCTCATTCATATCTATCTATCTATCTATCTATCTATCTATCTATCTATCTATCTATCTATCTCAGCCTGTTCAATATCTATCTCAGCCTGTTCAATATCTATCTCATACTCTTCAGTATCTATCTATCTATCTATCTATCTATCTATCTATCTCATTCATATCTATCTATCTATCTATCTATCTATCTATCTATCTATCTCAGCCTGTTCAATATCTATCTCAGCCTGTTCAATATCTATCTCATACTCTTCAGTATCTATCTATCTATCTATCTATCTATCTATCTATCTATCTATCTATCTATCTATCTATCTTTAAAATATATCTTCGCTGTTGACATTCAGTTGATCAGACAATAGACATTTCGTCGATTCGTTTCAGTTTTTAAGCGCATTTTAAATGGAATTCAACTTGTCAATATTTATCTCCTGTCCATATTGTTGTAAACTTCACAGCAAAACATTAATACCGAGAAAATAATTGAATTACAAGAGTAACCATTCATCGACTCTGGTTACCAACAGGAACAACGATAATATTTACTATATTCCCTTCAGTATTGTTACCATTATTGTGATGTTTGTCAGTAAGAGGAACAGGTCAAGAGGCGAACTACGAACAGGAGATGCTAAAATCAAGCATGTACGAACATTTAAATGTATAGGATCAATTTTGAGAGGGACGAGAAGAGATGGGTTCATACAGTATTTTCAAAAGGCGTGTGTGCAGAAGCGAACACAACAGAATAGTCCGGAATTTGAACACTAATCTCTGATTTTAATTACCCCGCCGATAGTAATTACACTAGTTAAACTTTCTGCAATTATAATGGCTGATCCATTTGACTTTGTTTATTTTCAAACTAGCATTTTATCATAATCATGATTATTTCATAATTCTATACATGTTACGAAATGAGATTCCGCCCTGAATCATTTTTATTATTAGAATTTGGTCAAAGTGGGGAGACTTAGCAAAAGGAGAAAATTGTTAAGGGCCACTAGGGATAGGAAGTTGTGGAGAGCCATGATTGCCTGCGTCACGGGACACGGCACATAGAAGAAGATAGCCTTTTCGAGAAATTAAGAATCAATAAGACACTTTGGTTTAATGGATCTGCGAATGGAGAAACATTAATTAATTTTTTAATTTAAATTTAATGGTCCCTTATGACTGATCATTACAAATCTTAAAACGAGAAGAAAATGATCAAAGCTGACTCTCCTTTCAGAGAAGGTCTCAGTTAAGTATCATACGTGATACGTACTTGGGCGATCATGTCTCTCTTGATTCTTGACTGAATAGCCTTGATTGGCAACCAGTCTACCGCAGAAAGAAACGGCAACCTCCTGCAACTCTCCCCCGTTTCTTTCTGATATTTTAAACTTTCTGAAAAGGGAGTCAATTTTGATAATTTTTTCTTGTTTTAGGATTTGTGATGATCAGCAATATGTGACCATTAAATTTACGCTGTCTTCAGACGTGCATCTTTCATGGTAGATATCAGACAATGAATCATGAACAAAGTGACTAAAACATGTTAGATCCCCATCATGGTTGAACCACAAATATATTCTTATTAGCAGGGGTAAATCCTCTAGTAGGTCTGGAAGTATGTTCGAAATAAAGTCTCTATAGACAGCTCCTGTAAGTAGAATCAAGCAATTTTCATGTAGGTGGTTGCCGTTTCTTTCTGCGGTAGACTAGTTGCCAATCAAGGCTATAGTCCTGCTATTCAACCCATAGCTGGCGAGAATAGACAGATTGACACCTTTCCCAATGGTATTTATGCATGAGTGAATATAAGGAAGCCAATCGGAATTCGAACTCATATCCATTACATCACAACGAGAATGTCTACTAATTCCATTTATTTCACAATATATATGAGATAAACACAAGCTTTTCTATTCAGATATATCAGTCATAAAAAAAGGAAATCTGTCTATGCTTTGGAATGTTAAGTAGAATTGTTCATACTAGGTCTTTGATATTATATAGCAATTTCTACTTTCACTATCTAGATTTAGTTTCAGTTTTCGTCAGTTGGTTCATTTGGTATATCACCATTTGTATCTTACAAATGTTAGGTCAAATTTAAAGGGAAGTTACTCTTCTCCTATGAACTTGTAATCTATTTGCTTGTACAGCACAAGCGGGCAAGGCCTTCTCGATGCAGTTTTTGTCCAGAATTCTTGCTCAATATTACTTGAAAACCCCCACAAAACGACTGGTGCTTATAATACTATTGCTTTACAAATTCGACTTATTACTTAATCCAATGCACCGGCTCATGTGCTTTTTATTATTTTGTTTACATACTTCTCTATATTTTAACGTGATAATCATTTTAAGACATACAGGCGTCTCTACTTGTATTATTAAACACACTTTTATTTTTACATACTTATATATACTTTATTATACTTTTCCATTTTCTTAGTAATTCTCTTGACCCTGTCTTACTCTCTTGCTCTCTCTTTAGTATAAGTCTCTCTTTTTTTATACGTAGGTCTTATTCGATGTATACTTGGAAACGTCTCTACAAAAGGAAGAAAAAAGATACTTGCAAACTTCCATATATATACAATCATATACATACATAATACATACGCAAACACGCACATACACACACACACACACACATATATATATATATATATATATATATGTTCATCACCATAATTTCTAAATATAGCATCATAGCTAAAATTATATTTCATCATATATATATATATATATATATATATATATATATATATATATATATATATATAAAAGAATTATATTAGGGCAATTGGCAAAGTGGAAAATGTTTACTTTTTGACACATTTCAT